ATATTTTAACTGATATAGAACTGATACAATCGATTAAAATGACTTAGAATATTTTGAAAAGTGTTCTGGCAGAATTTTAATTGATACAAACTCGAAATAATCGATTAAAATAACTTGAAGTGTTTTAAAAGTTGTTCTGTCAGTATTTTAATCAATATAAATGCGAAATAATTGATTAAAACAATTAAGGGGTTTTTTCATAATGTTTTAATCGATTAAAACAAGTATGTTATCAGTTAAAATAACTTAAAAAGTTTTATAAAATCTTTTGACAAAATTCTAATCGATTAAAATGCGATTCAATCGATTAAAATAACTAAGTGAACTTTTTGCAAAGTGTTTTAATCGATTAAAACATATTGTTATTAGTTAAAATAACTTAGAAAGTTTTATGAAAACCTTTGGCAGTATTTTAATCGATTAAAAGGCGAAAAAACCGATTAAAACAATTTGAAGGATTTTTTACAAAGAGTTTTAATTGATATAAACGTTGTCGTATCAGTTAAAACAAATCTGGAAAATAATCAAGAAAATTTTAACAGATTAAAAGAAGTTTTAACAGATTAAAACTAGACTTTTAACATATTAAAAGATTATTTTAACAGATTAAATAAACTAGCAGTTTGGAAAAACTTCTATATAAACAGAATTGCTTGAACATTTTAAAATCATCTTTTGACAATCAATCAAACAATCATAAGTGCTACTTTCAAGAGAGAATCGTGCAAGTTTTGTGAAGTTTTTAGAAGTTCTTTCTTGAGGCAATATTTGCATTCTTTTGGTGAAGAAACTCATTCTCGCAGAGTCGCATAAATCTGGTTTGGGTGTTCTAGTTTCTTCTCTTTGTTTCTTTACTTTTCTTTTCTATATTGTGTGTGCCTGGAAGTGTGGGCACTGGTTTCTGTGGCTGGAATTTGGCTGCAGGGTTGTTCAAGAACTAGAAATTGGTTCTTGGTAAAGGTTTAGGTGCAAAAGGACTGAAATTTTGGTTCTTGTGGTAGATTGAGTGTGTGATTGAAGTTGTAATCTATAAAACGTTCAATCTAGTGGAATCCAGCTGAAATTTGGCTGGAAACTGGACGTAGCTCTGGGATTGGGTGAACCAATATAAATCTTGGTTGTATCTTTCTAAACCTTTCTCTCTTTAATTCTGTCATTGCTTTTACTTTGATTGTTTGCTTTGTTTGATTCAAGAATTGATCAGAACTCTGAATCTTTGAGATAGATAATCTGTAAATTGCGCAAATCTTTCAAAGATCAATTCACCCCCCTCTTGATCTCAGCCTACTTTTCTAATACCTTAGTGAGTTTCTAAGGATGTGATTATCTTTTTAATTAGTTTACTTTTTACTGGTTCTTCTGCTGAGTTGATTCTAATTTGTAAACTGAATTTGAAAGATAGTGAATTGGGAGTCACTCTTGTGTTAAGAGTTGACTGGGAACTGGTTGTAGGGTTGGTTATACCCGAACCAGTATAAATCTGTGTGTGCTCTTCTCTTTCCTTTATTTCTTTCTCTTTTCCTTATTATATTATTGTTTCCACTTTATCTGTGTTCAAACAAATTATTGACTCACAAATAAATTTTTTATTTGACATCTATTTTAATTTGTGCATCTATTCATCCCTCTCTATATGCCATTTGTCTAACAATAATTAATAAGATTGAGTACAAATTAATAAATATAAAAGGATAAGTGAATTAATTAACAAAATATTTTTTATATAAATTTAATAAGAATAAATATAAATATAAATCAATATATTATTTAATGTGAAGTAATTATTTAATAAAAATATATAAATAATTAAAAATAGAAATTAATTAAAAAAATATTTTAATATTTTATAAACATATTTATTTTTTATAATTTTTTTATAATAATTTATAAGCAATATTAAATTTAAAACATAATTTCTAAATAAATTACATTGTTAATTTTTTATATGTTTTTATATAGTAAATTGAAAGTATATTATTAGATATGAGATAATATTTTTAAAATTTAAAATAATATTAAAAATTATTAAGAAAAATTATTTAAATAAATAATGTAATTTAGTATTGAGAGTTCGGATATTAATTTTTTTAAATAATGCAACTTAACTAAAAGTTTGGGACAAATATCTTTTGTGTTATTTTTATTATATTTTAGTTTTCATTTTTGAAATTAGTTATGAAAACATTTAATGCGATGATTCTTACGTTGATTTTAAATTTGTGTATTATACATTTTAAAAATAGAATTAATCTTTAAGTTTGCGTATAATTCTTTTATTTTAAAAGGTAGGAAGATTTTAGATATAGATTTAAAAAACTTTAAAATTTTTATTTATTAGTATTTTCTAGTTTGAAACTTTAATTATCGTGATTTTATTTAATATATATATATATATATATATATATATATATATTATTTTTAAATTCGATTCTTAAAAATGATATAATACATGTAGAGAGGAACACGTGAATAGGCATGTGAGTGAACAAGAAAAGAGTATGTTTCAATGGTCACATTGAATGTGCATGTACAAAATAATACATAATTATGATGGTTACCATGATGATAATATTATGCTATGGTGATCTTTCTGGTGAAAATTTGGTCGAGTTTGATTTATTAGATATTTAGATTCTAACCAAATTTCAATCAAATAGATTTTTTTTACTTAGGTTAGCAAATAATTTTCAATCAAAACATGTATGAAAATCGAAAACGTCACAGTATCGAGTCGAATGAAAGATAAAACATGCACGTATATTAAAAACATGGGAAGTGTGATAAAACATGCATATCAAAATCGAAAGTACTATTTTTAGTATTTTTTTATTAAGAAACTTGAAGTAAAAAAAAAACAATAAAAAGGTATTGAGACGAAAAGCAAAGCAGAATATTAAATTGTAGAGAAAATGTAAATGCGGAACCTTAAAATTGCATTAAGTGTAAATGACAATGAATTGAAATTGCAAAAATGTAAATAGCAGGAAATCAAAATTGCAGAAGTGTAAATAGTAGGAAATTGAAATTGCAGAAGTGTAAATAGCGAGGAACTTAAACGCAGAATCTTAACTTGCATAAAGGTAAATAAGGACAGAATCTTAAAGTTGATAAATGTAAGTGACTGATCAAACGTAAATAGCATGAAAGTAAATTACATGAAAATAAATTATCAAGGAAAGTAAAGAAAGCGATAAAGACAATCAATGAAAATGGAAATCCAGATTGCCAGAAACTTCATGATTCGTCGTTTTTCCGGTAGACTTTTCACTTGTGTTTCTGTTGTCTCTGCCAATTTCCCGTTTTCCTTCAAACTTCGCTCTATTTATAGAGTGTCTTTCAGGTACCCTCCTAAGAGCAGTTTAAAAACTGCTACCACGTTCCATGTGCACGTACGTTAACTATCCCTCGATTTTTATCTTAGCCACGGTTTAGAAAACCGTTTCGCACGTTCCATGTGCGTGATAACCATTCCTTTGATCTTGACCTCAACCATCGAGTATTTAAAACTAATTCTGGCTTTCCATTTAACTTCATACTCAATACCTTTCATCGATTTTTACTTCCCCATGATCATCAAATTTCCTGTTTTCTTTCGATTATCGATTCCAATGCTCGATTTCCTTCAGCAATAACCATCGAACCCTCTTCTTTCGATTCTCGATTCCCATTCTCGATTTTCTTCAGCAATAGCCATCGAATCTTCTTCTTTCGATTCTCGATTCCAATTCTCGATTTCCTTCAGCAATAGCCATTGAATCCTCTTCTTTCCATTCTCGATTTTCTTCGGCAATAGCTATCGAATCTTCTTCTTTCGATTTTCGATTCCAATTCTTGATTTCAATTCTCGATCGATGTTTTCATACTAATACATGGTCATCGAATGTCTTCCTACCATCTTTTCGATTTATCAATTTTTCAACTAACATACGATCCTCGATTTTCTTCCATCCGTTTTTCGATCCATATATCGATTTTTCCCACCAACATGTGTATATAATATTTTTACCAACATAAATATTGATAATATGTTATATTAATATATAAATATGCTAAACATACCATGTAAATAGAATGATCATATTAATACTATCTTGCACTTCTCATAAAATAATTTAAAGAGTATTAATACAATTTTTTAAAAAAGTGAGATTAAATTAATATTAAAATTAACAGTGGCCGGAATTTAAGAAAAATAAAAAAAGAAGAGTCAGGAAAAAAAGAAGTAAAATGTTAACAGAAAAAAATAGAACAAATTATACTATTTTGTTTTATCTATTTTTATTTATCTAAAACAGAGACATCTTCAATACTTATTTTTTACATAAAAAGACTGTAACTCTGATCTCACACATAAAAGCCACCAACCACATCATATTTAGCATATAACATTCTCTTGTACTACCACCTAACAAAATGATGAAGATTAAAGAAAATAGACACTTACAAGATAATTCATTCAATAGAGTTAGTTAGTACTACATTTTTTTCAAGAAAACGTGGATAAAAAAAACGTTAGTCAATGTTCATAAATTTTAAAACGAACATGACAAAGTTAATTTTAAAATTTTCTCTAGATTTTATTCTTTAACATTTAAAATAAATTTAGTTTCCAATATATTTAGACATTAAGTTAGTTTTCAAATTTAACCGTTATAATATGAAAGATAAATCATTGGCAAAATCTTATGAAGCACTAACACGAATTTTCTTAGTAACTGAATGAGACAATTATTGATTGGCTGAAAGAATCAAACAAGACATTATTTTCAAACGAGGAATATCTGGGCGTTTGTTATTGGCATTGGAAAAGGACTGCGTAAGATCTGTGATGCTCCTGTTATTTTCCGTTTCTATTTCATTCGTTTCATCACTTGTTTTTGTTTTATTAGTTCAGTTTTTATTTTTTATTTATTTATTTTTTCTATCAAAACGGAGTTCAAACTTTTATTCTTATTGATTTTGGTAAGTTAAACTTCCAATCAATAGTGGCTGCAACTTCTATGGCCTACAACTCCAACGGTAGGAGGGGAAAAAGTAATTCACTTTCCCTTTCACCAACTAGAGAGGATAAAGTAAAAGTTAGTCAAAGTCGGAAATTTTAAGTTAGATTCCCCCTCACTTCATATCGTGTTCAAATCCTTTAGTTGGTTCTGCAGATTCAAGCCACTGATTTGGATGAACCACTGTAATTCAAGTCGCATTTTTTTATTTTTTATTTTGGGATCTTCCTTAGCCATTTGGCCTTTTTTTCTAGATAGTCCTTCCTTAGTGCTGAACTGAAGATGGCAGAGTAGAATTATTAAATGATTTGCCCTTTTTCATGAATATAAATTTTGTGTTAGATTTTTTTGATGAGATAACACATTAATAATTTTTTTAGGAAAGACCGTTACTTTGAGATTGTTTGTTCTGTTGCTTCTAAAAGGGGAACGCAAAGGGGAAAGAAAAAGAAGTATTTTTGCTTTCTGGGGGTTGGGAATTTTTGAGTAGAGGGTTGTGGAATGTGACTTGCAGGTAGAAGCTGCTCTTTTCCTCTGCCCACATTTTTCAAAGGCTTGATTTTGAAGAGGAAGCACAATTATAGTGGAGATCTGGGACTTGTTTTACCTCTTATGCCCTATGAGGACTTTTTTCACTGCAGAATCATGTAAAGAAGCACATCCTAATGCTTTAAATCCACAGTCCTGGCTCCAAGTTGAAAGAGGCAAGCTTCCCAAGTTGTCATCACAGTCCTCCTCTTCATCAATGTAAGCTTCTCAGGTCAACATTTTTATTTGAAGCTTAGCTTTTTTTAGCCATTTCATTGAATTAAGTGGTTTACTGTTAACTGCCACAGAGAGTCTCTAATCAAGGTCCCACAGCCACCTATACTCCCATTCTTCAAGCCTGTTGATTATGTGAAAGTTTTAGCTCAAATCCACGAAGAACTTGAGCTGTGTTCTCCACAGGAGCAGTCAAATCTGTTTTTGTCACAGTACCAGGTCTTTAGGGGCTTGAGGGATGTTAAACTGATGCGTAGAAGCCTCCGGTCAGCTTGGAAGAGAGCAAATACTGTTCATGAGAAGATTATATTTGGGGCATGGCTGAAGTATGAGAAGCAAGGGGAAGAATTAGTTGCTCAGTTGCTCACAGCTTGTGGTAAATGTGAGAAGGAATATGGGCCCATAGACGTAGAATCTCATATTTCTGCGGATAAAGTTATACGTTCCCAGGATAGAGTTTCCATGAACGGGAACCACACTTCACAATATGTTATCTTTACAATTGGAGATGAGAAGATAGTCTGTGATAGACAAAAGATTTCTGAACTTTCAGCACCATTTCATGCAATGCTAAAGGGGTGTTTCAGGGAATCCCTTTCTGAGACTATCGATTTGTCAGAAAACAACATCTCTCCTTCAGGTATGAGGGCAATAAGTTATTTTAGCCTGACAGGCAGTTTAATTGATGTCCCTCAAAATCTTTTGGTGGAGATATCAGTTTTTGCAAACAAGTATTGTTGCGAAACACTAAAACTGGCTTGTGATAGAAGACTTGCATCCGTAGTTTCCTCCAGAGAAGATGCTCTGGAACTCATGGAATATGCTGTTGATCAGAATTCATCTGTCCTTGCAGCTTCTTGTTTACAAGCTCTTTTACGCGATATTCCCAACTGCTTGAGTGACAATCGGGTTGTGGAATTATTTATTCATGCTAATAGGCAGCAGTTGGAAGTCATGGTTGGGCCTGGTGTATTTGCACTTTTCTGTTTCTTAAGCGAAGTTTCTATGAACCTCAGCTCTAGTTCAGACACAACAGCTCATTTTCTGGAACGGTTAGTTGATTTTGCTGAAAATGACAAGCAGAGACTGCTGGCATTTCATGAATTGGGATGTGTAAGGCTCTCAAGGAAAGAATATGATGAAGCCTATGGTCTTTTTGAGAGGGCTGTAAATGCAGGTCATATTTATTCCGTTGCAGGTTTAGCTAGACTGGACTCTATAAAGGGTGAGAAGCTTTTACCTTATCAGAAGATCAGCTCAGTCATTTCTTCTGGTACTCCACATGGATGGATGTACCAGGAAAGAGCACTATACTGTGATGGTGATTTGAGGTGGAAGGACCTTGAGAAAGCAACTGATCTGGACCCGACTCTTGTATATCCCTACATGTATAGGTCTGCCTCTTTAATGAGGAAAGGGAACGTTCAAGGTGCATTAGCTGAAATCAACCGGATTCTTGGCTTCAAACTTTCATTAGAGTGTTTGGAACTACGGTTTTTCATCTATCTAGTCCTTGAGGGCTACGAAGCAGCGCTCCGAGATGTTCAAGCAATTCTTACCCTGTGTCCATCTTATAAAATGTTTGAGGGGCGTGTAGCTGCATCTCAGCTCTGTACTCTTGTGCGTGAGCATGTTGAACATTGGACAACTGCAGATTGTTGGGCACGATTATATGATTGTTGGTCTGCTGTGGATGATATCGAGTCTCTTTCTGTTATCTACCAGATGCTTGAATCTGATGCGGCCAAAGGTGTTCTATACTTCAGACAGTCATTGCTTCTCCTCAGGTATATTAAGAATGTTTGATAACTGTTATCCATATTTATTATTCTAAATCTTTCCAGGCCAATGCCATGTGTCACTTCCTTGTTGCCTTTTTTCCCTTCACCATTAGCCTTTTTGCTGTTTTTGTATAAATGATGGGTTCTAATCTGAATTAAAGTTGCTTTACCATGAAGATCATGGTCCCGAACTCTTGTTAATTATTTAAAAATAAAACAGATCTTGAATTCTATCTAAACTCCACCATTGAAGCCTAGGCAATCTGATTTTGTATTGGTTAGATATGAGATTTTTATTTTATCTTAAACATTTTTGTTTGTTAAACTTTTGAGTTTGCCTGCATTCAGAAAAAGCAAGTGGTAGCTGCAGGCTACTGATGTTTCTGTTTTAGCTTAGTCACGAATACTTTTTACTTTGCCAAATGAGAAGCCTCATAGTTCATTCTGTTTAAGCTCTTGTTGTAATATCAAGTCACTTTTCCTCCCTTTCGAGTGAGGTTGTTGGTTTGTGATTTACAACTTTTCTTCTATACACTGTCTTATAGTGTTTCCATTTCGTATGTTAGGTTTGATCAGTCTGTAGGATCGTCTGATGCATAATCTGATTAGTGATAGTCCGTTTTTGATAGCTATTTTCTGTTCAGTCTTATACCCTGTTACGTATGCTTTCTCTTAACAGTAATTACTGTTTCTCATGTACATATATTGGCACATGCAGTGAGTATCATAGGCAAAACACCAAAATGGATTAATTTGATATGTAAATTACTACAATGAGTCGCCTTTTAAAAAATTATCCATTTTATTTTGGTAGTATGATTTTTTATTTTTTTATGTGGAATTGGTTGATGTATTTCATTATGAAGGCTAGTAGTTGTAAATCATTTTGAATTTTCTTGTCGCATACTAAGATTAGGAGTGAAATTGGATCACTATTAGCAGACAGATAATCTTCATTTTGAATGTGATAAAATTGAAGTGCATATATCTTGTAAATTTTTTCTAACCTATACATTGGATCAAGAAATGTGCCTAATTACCCGAAAAAAAAGAATATACAACAATATCATGAGAGCAAGAAAATGAAGAGCTTGAAAAATCCTCATAATCACACCACAATCTATTTTAAGTTGATTGTGTAACCCATTGATCTTTGGCTAAGTTGGGGATTTGATAGCTCTTACACATCAAATTCATAATTTTTTCGACTATACATTTGGACATGATAATGTGAGCACATCATCCATTTTCTCCATGTAAGTTGGTAATCACTTTAGGATACTTGTGTCTTGATAATAATAAGCATTTTGCCTTCATGTCTCATTTTACAATCCAAAATTTAGTCCTATCGAATGTGGTTTTGACTAAGACACATATGAATAAAATTGTGCTCCCTTTAGAATAGGATTTATGTACTTAGATTGATTGTTATATGTTTATATCTCTTCTATTATAAGCTTGGGTCCATTTTCTAGTGGAAGTTTATCGAAACAAGACATTGATTGTCAAAGCTCATATCTTATAGTAAATAGTTTTACTAAAAGTACTAAGATTTGGTTTTTTCAATGTGATTTTAACAAAGACACATATGGGTAAAACTTATGCTTCTTTTAGAAAAGAATTTATGTGCTCAACAAGATTTATTATTATATATCCATACCTCTTGCATATATCATAGACTAGGGTTTACTTTTCTAATGAGATTTCATCTAACTCAAATACTGTTTGTTAAAGCTCAAATCTTATAGTAGATAAAATTAAGTTATGAGAACTAACACTTCTAGCAAAATTATTTGCTATGAGGTTTGAATTTTGATAAGTCGTCTTCGTTAGATAAAATTCTATTGAAAAAGTGAACCCAAGCATATAATAAAAGTAAGAGACATAGATATATGATAATCAATCTCGTTGGGTACATGAATTTTGTGTTGAAAAGAGTGCAAGTCTTATGCATAGGTGTCTTGGTCAAAACCATGTTTGGAAGAACTAAATCTTGATATTTTTAGCAAAACTACCTGCTATGAGATATGATTTCCGACAAATAGTGTTTTGGTTAGATGAAATCACATTGGAAAGTGGTCCTAAGCTTATGATGAAACTAAAAGATATGGACAAATGACAATCAATATCGTTGAGTGCATAATTTTGATTTGAAGGGAACTCGAGCCTTATGCACCTTCGCCAATATGAAAAGTTCTTAATATTAATTGAGCGCTCAATTCTCCAATGATTGATCCACAATAATACCTACAACTTAATACTATCAAGTGACTATGAGTAGGACTTTTGACCATAATACAATGAACAAATTCAAGATGTACTCTTACATGTGCTTTAGTCAAAATCATATTCAAAAGAACTAAATATTAGTTTGTAGAAGGAGACATGAATTTAGAATTCAAATTACGAGTAGGTTAACTTGAAGAGATTACTATTAGAATTGTGCAGCGGAATGTTTGCGCTTGCGGACAAAACCAAGAGGGGGTTGAATTGGTTTAGTTATAAAAAATAAGGGTTTTTAAAATTTTTCTCAAATTTCACCAATTAAAATGCTTGTAAAGTAAAAAGATAAAGGAAAGAAGATTACACAGGTAATTTATACTGGTTCGGATCAAATGACCCTACGTCTAATTGTTAATCACTCTAAAAGAGGATTAATGCAGTTATTATAATCACAGTTACAACAAATTACAAATTGCACAAAGATAAGGATTAGAAAACACCTCTCTTGAGTCACACAAGAGATGAACATCTCCTTTGAAACTACAAAGGATGACAATAGCTTAAAAAAACAAAGGATGACAATAACTTTTCCTAGAGACGACACAACACAATCTACCAAGGAATCCACTCAGTGATTCTTATCGCTTCTAGCCCATACTAGGTTTTCAAAAGCTCATTTTTCTTCCCTACACAAAGTTTTCTAGCAATCACAACTCTTAACTTTTGTATGAAAAAATGTTGTTTGTTCAGAGAGCCTTAGAGAACCTTAAGTAAATAGATTTAGGGTATGAGGAATAGAAGTTTTTGAAAATAAGAGTATTGGAAATAGGTGCATCGAAAATAGGTCCAAATTCGAAATTCAAAAATCATAACAGACATAGATAATCGATTATCTTAAGTGATAATCGATTATCACAGAGTCATTTTCGCAGAGGAGTAAATTGGACCAGGATAATCGATTATCCTCTGAGATAATCGATTATTCCAGAGTTTTCAAAAACCAAAAACAACTGGGATAATCGATTATTAAGCCAGATAATCGATTATTCCAGCAAACTTTTAAGAAAACAGATTTCAAGCAGGATAATCAATTAGCCTAAGTGATAATCGATTATCACAGAGTGATTTTGATAAAAATGAACTTTCAAAGGAAGAACTATGTACTGGCTATCTTGGACTCTAATTTTACAGACTCAAAAAAAGATAAAACAGAGTTATTACAAGTATATACAAATGATTATAAGTCTTCAAGACTTCAAGCCCTTTGTTGTTGAATCATCATCAAAATTTTCAAGCATCATATCCTTGTATGTTCAACAATCTCCCCCTTTTTGATGATGATTAAAATCTGCTTTAAAGACCTTTGTAATAATCTTTTTTACTGTCACAACTAACAAAAATTTTAAACATACTAGACTTTAAATATTTTCTCCCCCTATTTTTGTCATAATCAAAAGAAATTAAAGCTCCCCCTCAACATGTGCATAAGAATTTAAAATTCCCCCTTAAAATGTGCAACATATAAACACAAGTTGATATAAAATGTACAACATATAAAATAGATATTTTATTTAAGTTTGAGCAAAACAATACAACATATAAACATAAATTCCTAAGCCTAGAATTCTAAAATTCTTCGCTGTCCGAGTTAAATTGCATATCAAATCTGTCTTCCAGATTTGATACACGTTCATCTACATTCGAAATTCGATTTATAACTTCTTGATGACGTTCAACGGAGATAGAGAAGAAATCCTGCATTCGTTGGTTCATGCTGATGAGCATATCCTCAATAGAGGAGCGGGGATCAGCATGAACACCAGATGAAGTTCCGGTGATAGGAATATTTGCAGCAGACATTTCTTCATCATCAGAATCTCCAGCAACCTCAACAGCATGGGGAGCATCATCTTTATGAAAGTATGTTCCATTAACATTTACCATCTACAACTGAGATAATGTTCCATCAAACATCCGATTGGAATTTAAAGTCCAAGCCTATTGTTCACCTTTAACATTAACACCTTTATATTCCAGAATCCTGGAGATAAGGAGTGCATAAGAAATCTTAAAGGTGGGGTGACACTTCGCTTTGAGCATAGTCAAAGTAATAAGACTGGGCCAATCAATTAGCTCGTTGTTCATAATGACATAAATGATGCGAAGATCAACGGTAGAACATTGAGCATGATTGGTAGCTCGAGGACAGAGTATCTAAACAAAAAGATGAAGTAACATACGTTCCTCTTTCTTCAGAGGACCAACCAGAAGTTGTCTACCAATCTCCATGGCAGGATTACGGAGGAACGAATGATATACCAAAATTCTGTTGAATTCTTCCAGATTAGCAAGAACGTTGACAGCATCATCTCTAATAGGAAAATGAGCAACATTTTCCCAAATGTCATCATCAAGAATGATGGTGATCCCCTTTACTTTGGAAGTGGCGACATTATCTCTGAACTTGAAACGGGAATAGAATACTCTGACCAAATCAAGATAGTAGGTGACCTGCATTTCAATGAAGGGCAGAACTCCTTGTTGTTCAAGGAGATTTGGGAAATTGAAGCCCCTGTCAATGAAATGATCACCAATAAGATACTTAGGAGATATAATACTCCTTTCTTTCCAAAAATTTAGATGTTCTTGTCTTCCTTCGTCATCAGAGATCCACCCTTCAATAGAGTTAGGGCGGAGACGAGATGCAGGAGCAGATATTCGAAAAGCTTGAAATCTATGTAAAATGCTTGGAAGTGAGACAATAGGGTGTGATGATTTGAAAATGAGTTCATCTATATATAGGAATTGTCCCCAACGGCTATATTTTCAAGAATCCATGCAAAAAGAGTCGTTGCCAACGACTAGAATATCCCTAACGACATCAAATAATCGATTATCACTTATGATAATCGATTATTTTTTCATCTTTTACCCAGAAATATGAAGAAATAATCGATTAGAAAACACCTCTCTTGAGTCACATAAGAGATGAACACCTCCTTTGAAACCACAAAGGTTGACAACAACTTTTCCTAGAGACGGCACAACACACAATCTACTAAGGAACCCACTTAGTGATTCTTATCGTTTTTAGCCCACACTAGGTTTTCAAAAGCCCATTTTTCTTTTCTACACAGAGTTTTCTAGCAATCACAGCTCTAAACTTTTGTATGAAAAATGTTGTTTGTTCAGAGAGCCTTAGAGAACCTTAAGTAGAGAGATTTAGGGTCTGGGGAATAGAAGTTTTCGAAAATAGGAGTATTGGAAACAGGTGCATCGAAAATAGGTCCAAATAGGAAATTCAAAAATCATAACAAAAGTAGATAATTGATTATCTTAAGTGATAATCGATTATCATAGAGCCATTTTCGCAGAGGAGTAAACTGGACCAGGATAATCGATTATCCTCTGAGATAATCGATTATTCCAGAGTTTTCAAAAACCAAAAACAACTGGGATAATCGATTATCAAGCCAGATAATCGATTATTCCAACAAGCTTTTAAGAAAACAGATTTCAAGCAAGATAATCGATTAGCCTAAGTGATAATCGATTATCAGAGAGTGGTTTTAATAAAAATGAACTTTTAGAGGAAAAACTATGTGCTGGCTATCTTTGACTCTAATTTTACAGACTCAAAATAAGATAAAACATAGTTATTACAAGTAAATACAAATGATTATAAGTCTTCAAGACTTCAAGTCCTTTATTGTTGAATCATCATCAAAATCTTCAAACATCATATCCTTGTATGTTCAACAATTACTACATTGATTCGTGAAAAAATGAACAGTGTGCTCACATGTATAATGCCCAAAGGTACAATCAAGAAGATTCTCACTTTGATGTGTAAATACTATCAAATCCTTAACTCGGTCGACGTGATTGTGAAAAGTTTCAAGTTCTTCCAGTTCCTTACTTATTAGATATTATTGTTATTGATTCTTCTTTCATTTACAACTATGTAAACTTCAATTCCATCCATTTTGAAATGAAAATTGTTAATTTTTTTATAAAAGTCTAAAATTTCCTTCCCAACCTTAATATGTGATAAGAAATTCACGTAGACTTGTTACTACTATTCACACTCATAAGGAAATGGATCAACCAATTCAAATAAACAAAAAAATAATGTTCATTCTCGTTAAATGAACGGCATAATCATGCAAATTGTTCACGTAGACAATAAATGTAAAATGTTTACCCATATTTCAATATATTATTATTTCTACTTATTCATATCTTTCTCACATAACACATTTATAATTTTATAATTATCTTCAATTCTATGAAATAACAAAAATATAAAAAAATCACAACAATGATATCTAAAAATAACAACTAATTGTTCTAACTTACATATTAATTTAAATGAAATAATTATATATACATAATTGATGTATATAATATTTTAAATTTATTTCTTGATTACCTAAATATTTTTCTTTAATAAAATTTACTTAAACTAAATTCATACTACTTAGAACATCTTATAATTAAATAATACTTAAAGTTGGGACTTTGAACGATTTCATTTTTAAAAAAGAAAAAACAAATTGAGGTGAAGAGAATCTAGATTATTGATGTTTTGTTCTCAAGCACCATTTTGAAAACTTTAAAATGAAATAATCTTACATTGGAGTTGTGTTTTGTAAGAAGGCTTCTTCATTTAAAAGTCATGCTTGCATGTACAATTAATGCAAAAGTGACTCATTATGTGATACAGTTAAAGAAATTGAAGGGCAAATTAGAAAAAACCAAAAGGTGTATGAGAGGAGAAAGTGGAAACCCATTGCATGGGGTCCATCGACACACACACCATGATTCTGTTCTAACAGAATTGCCTACGTGGCTGTGGGGGAGAGAGAAAGATGGGGGAGTAGATGAGAGAAGGGGGTTTTTGGGGGGAAAAGGAGGAGGGGGAATTGGGACTGATTTTGTAAGGAAGAGAGGCTCCTAAACCTCTCTGTTTCTGGGTTATTAAAATAATACGCATACTATCTCTGCATTACATTACGGTTTTACACAATACTATCAATTGGTATTAGAGCACTCGATTCTGGGAGTGTATGGTCCTTACGTGAAATACGATGGAGAAGCGGATTGAGGATCTCGAATAACAGCTAGAAGATTTAAAGCATTTAATCATCTCGAGAAGTTTGTCTCGTCGAGGTCGATCGTACAAACGAAGGTCGCATAGGAGGAGGACACTAGAGAGTTTGAGGTTGAAGTGGGCACAGGGGAGAAGGTGTGGAATAGAGGCATATGCAAACAATTGGAAGTGGTGATTCAAGGTATTTCAATTGTGCAACAATTTTTTCTCATGGAGTTAGGAGGGACTGATTTGGTGTTAAGGATGGAGTGGTTAGCAAGTTTGGGAAATGTGAAAGCTAATTTCAGAAATTTGGTGCTGAGTTGGGGTATAAAGGGCGACAAGAAGATCATGAAAGGTGACCCTACACTTTGTAAATCTCAGGCTTATTGGAAGGCAATGGTGAAAGCCCTCAACAATGAAGGGGAGGGATATATGTTGTCATATCAAGGACCCTGGACTCATGCAATAGAGAGGGATCTTGTTCCTAATGAAGAATTAATGGTTGTGTTGGCAGAATTTGAGGATATATTTAGATCACCCACGGAATTACCTCCCCAGAGAACATGTGATCATGCCATTACCCTCTAGGAAGGAGCTAATCCCCCAAATATAAGGCCTTACAGGTATCCATATTATCAAAAGAATGAAATCGAGAAGTTTGTGAAGGAAATGATGACATCGAGAATTATAAGACCTAGCAACAACCCCTATAGTAGCCCTGTTATTCTTGTAAGAAAGAAGGATGGAGGATGGAGGTTTTATGTTGATTATAGAGCTTTAAACAAAATTACCATACCAGGCAAGTTTCCTATCCCGGTTATAGATGAGCTTTTGAATGAGTTGGGAGGAGCTCAAGTTTTTTCGAAGTTAGACCTTAAGTTGGGGTATCACCAAATTCGTATGAAAGAAGATGTCCCTAAAACTGCTTTTAGGACTCATGAAGGCCACTACGAGTTTCTTGTCATGCCTTTTGGACTAACGAATGCCCCGTCCACATTTCAAGCCCTCATGAATTATGTATTAAAGCCCTATTTGAGAAGGTTTGCCTTAATTTTCTTTGATGACATCCTTATATTCAACAAGACTATTAAGGATCATTGTGAGTATGAGAAAACTATGTTGATTGCTCTAAGAAGTCACGAGTTGGTGGTGAACAAGAAGAAATGCTCATTTGGGAAGGCAAGTATTGAGTATCTCGAACATATCATTTCTGGTCAAGGTGTAGCTGTTGATCCTGCCAAAATAAAAGATATGCTAGAATGACTAACTCCTAGAGATGTGAAGGGATTGAGAGGGTTTTTGGGCCTCACTAGTTATTACAGAAAATTTGTTGAAGGGTATGGAAAAATAGCATGGCCTCTAACTCAACAATTGAAGAAAGATAAGTTCAACTGGGATGATTCTGCTCAAGAGGCGTTCGAAAGTTTGAAAACAGCCATGACTCAAGTGCTTGTGTTGGCTGTCCCTGATTTTTCAAAAACATTTGTGGTGGAAACTGATGCTTCAGGGAAGGGTTTAGGGGCGGTTTTGATGCAAGAAGGGCAACCAGTGGCCTACATGAGTCAAACTTTGTTTGATAGATCCTTGAACAAATCGGTTTATGAGAAAGAATTGATGGCTATGGTTTTGACAATACAAAAATTGAGGCATTATTTACTAGGAAGGCACTTCATTGTGCATACAGACCAAAAGAGCTTGAAATTTTTGGTCTATCAGAGGTTGATGAGTGAGGAGCAAAATAAATGAATTTTCAAACTGTTGGAGTTTGACTTTGAAATAAAGTACAAACCAGGGGTAGAGAATAGAGCAGTTGATGCCCTTTCCAGGAAGTTACACTACTCAGCCATGAGTACTATCCACTTCTTTGAATGGGAAGAATTAGAAGAGGAAATTGAGCAGGATGAGAAATTGAAGAAAATTCTTCAAGATCTATCATTGAAGGAGGGTGAATATCCAGGGTATGAAGTAAAGGGAGGCTATATTACCCCAACAGATTAGTGATTCCTAAGAACTCCCAGAAAATCCCATCTATTTTGAAGGAATTTCATGACACAGTAGTGGGAGGTCACTCTGGATATTACAGAACTAATAAGAGGATTGCTAACTTGTTTTTTTGGGAAGGAATGAGAAACGATATTAAAGAGTATGTGCAAAGGTGTGAGGTGTGTCAGAAAAACAAGTACCAGACATTGAGTCCAGCAGGGTTGTTGAACCCCTACCTATTCCCAAGCAGATTTGGACCGATGTTTCTATGGATTTTATTGGAGGTTTACCCAAAGCGGGGGGAATGGATACCATATTAGTGGTGGTGGATCAACTAACAAAATATGCTCATTTTATTGCTTTGGAACATCCTTATAATGCTAAAAGTGTGGCTGAATTATTTTTGAAGGAAGTGGTTAAATTGCATGGATTTCCAGAATCCATTGTATTGGATAAAGATCGCGTTTTCATGAGTTCTTTCTGGGCAGAATTATTTAAGTTGGCTGGAACTAAGTTAAAATTTAGTTCTGCATACCACCCACAAACAGATGGGCAATCTGAAGTGGTTAACAGGTGCTTGGAGACTTATTTGAGGTGGATGACTGGCCTTAAACCTAAACAGTGGCTTAAATGGCTTAGTTGGGCTGAATATTGGTATAATACCAATTACCATGAGTCTATTAAGATGACACCTTTTAAGGCATTGTATGGAAGAGATCCTCCTCCTGTTATTAGAGGCGATGTTTCATCTACACCTATAGAAGAGGTAGCCGTGATGATACAAGAGAGAAATGAAATTTTAGATATGTTGAAGAATCGCTTGGGAAGCTCAAAACCGAATGAAGCAGAAAGCCAACAAAAGTAGAAGAGAAGTGGAGTATAAGGTTGGGGATGTTGTGTATTTGAAGATACAACCTTACAAGTTGAAAAAGTTGGCTGAGAGGGTTAATCAGAAACTTAGCCCGAGATATTATGGCCCTTTTGAAATTATTGAGAAGATTGGAGAAATAGCATATAAATTGAAACTGCCTGAAGATAGTAGAGTGCACCGAGTCTTTCATGTGTCTCTGTTGAAACTCACTGTGACAGCTGATGCTGCTGTCCAACCATTACCACCATATGTGACAGAGGAGTTTGAATTACAAGTTCAACCAGAAGATGTGTTAGCTGTGAGAGGAGACCGTGATCAGTCACTAGAAGTGTTGGTGAAATGGAAGGACATGCCTGATTGTGAAAACTCCTGGGAATCCATGAGTAGGATGTTGGAAGTATTTCCTGAACTTCACCTTGAGGACAAGGTGAATTTTAAAGGAGGAAGTGTTGATACAGTTAAAGAAATTGAAGGGCAAATTAGGAAAATCCAAAAGGTGTATGAGAGGAGAAAGTGGAAACCCTTTGCATGGGGTCCATCGACACACGCACCATGATTTTGTTCTAACAGAATTGCTTACGTGGTTGTGGGGGAGAGAGAAAGACGGGGGAGTAGATGAGAGAAGGGGGTTTTTTGGGGGAAAGGGAGGAGGGGGAATCAAATTAATCCATTTTGAAACCATAAACCCTAATCTAAATTTGTCTTCTATTTAGCATATGTATATAGTTACATATACTAAATAAATACACGCATTTTTGTATCACATTGATTTTAATTTAATGATATAAAAAAAGTATTAACAAAATTCTATTTTTTATTTTATGTATATAATTTTTTTTTTGAATTTATCAAAATAGTCTCCTTTCTATCTATTTAAATTGGATTGATTTTATAAGAAAAAATTAGATTTCGGATTTATATTAAAAAATTCAAAATGAGTGCGTTACATTACGGTTTTATAGAATACTATCATTATGATAGTTTATGAATCTAATTAATCCATTTTGGTTCTTTTGCCAGTATTATAACTAAAAAAATAGGTAAAGAAATAGTAGCTGTTTTTAATCTTGCTATGTATATGTGCTTCATTTATAGTCACTGAAATCTCTGTCAATTAACACACTAGAAAGGAGGGAAAGTGTATCCGAATACAGTTTCTTCTCCTCTACTTGAAGATCCTGTTTGGATGACTTGAAGTTATGTATGCTAAGGAGTCTATAAATCTAATATTAATTTGTAGGCTAAACTGTCCTGAGGCAGCCATGAGGAGTTTACAGTTAGCTTGGCAACATGCATCAAGTGAGCATGAGAGACTTGTGTATGAGGGGTGGATCTTGTATGATTCAGGTCATTACGAGGAAGGCCTCCAAAAAGCTGAAGAGTCTATTACTATTAAAAGGTCTTTTGAGGCCTTCTTCCTAAAAGCCTATGCATTGGCTGACTCTAGTGTAGATTCATCATGTTCTTCCACTGTCATTTCACTTCTGGAAGATGCCTTGAGGTGTCCTTCTGATAATCTGCGCAAAGGTCAGGTATGGTTCTTCAATTGTTCCACACACACGGGTCAATAACAAGCTCGCATCATATGATCATATCCATATTTACTTTGGATAGAACAAGCTTCTTGTTTTACAGTTGTTTTCTTCCCTTAAATTTAACAGGCCCTGAACAATCTTGGAAGTGTTTATGTTGATTGCGGAAAACTAGACGCAGCAGAAGATTGCTATATCAAGGCCCTTAAAATCCAGCACACGCGAGCCCATCAGGGTCTTGCTCGTGTTCATTTTCTCAGAAATGATAATAAGGCTGCTGCGTACAAAGAAATGACCAATCTTATTGAGAAGGCAAGAAACAATGCTTCAGCGTATGAGAAGAGGTCTGAGTATGGTGATCGTGAACTCACAAACGCTGATCTGGAGATGGTCACTAGACTAGATCCACTTCGGGTGTATCCTTACAGATATCGAGCAGCAGGTTCATATTTTGCTTCCTCACTCACCCTCTGTTCTGTTTGTCAGCTACAAGAAAAAGAAACTTGTTTTATATGTTGTAGTGTTGAAATATTGATATGACTCATGTTGTCATTCATGTCATGTTATTTGAATGGAGTATGTGGTTGCAGTTTTGATGGACAACCATAAGGAAGAGGAAGCCATTGCTGAACTCTCCAGAGCAATTGCATTTAAAGCTGATTTGCACCTCTTGCATCTACGTGCAGCATTCCATGAACACAAGGGAGATGTTTTAGGAGCGTTAAGAGATTGTCGTGCTGCACTGTCTGTGGACCCAAATCATCAAAAAATGTTAGAACTTCACTGTCGTGTTAATAGTCACGAGCCATGAGTGAAGAACATGCCTGAAAACACTGCCACACTGACGATTAAACATGAAGTGATTTTGTAAATGAAAAGTGTAGTTAAATAGGATTTAACTATTGCTAGGGTGGCCCAAATTTTGTTATTTATATTGTATCGTCTGGATATATATTAGAATGTACCAAGAAAAAGAAATAGCGGTTATCTTCCTTGAGTTTTTCATTTGGCACACACAGGCTCAAGTGTTGGACTTAATGCATTGTTGCAAGGCGAATCATATTCAGTACCCATACTGCATAGCTTATATATGGTGACTAGGTTATCTTTACAAATTATTAATTTAGTTTGGCTTTTGTTCTTATAGTGGTTTAAAATTCATCCATCAAGTTAATATTAATTCCATTAAAATTTAAAATTAATTTATCATTCCATCATCTATCTATCTATCTATCTATCTTATCTACCACTTAGTTCTACTCCTCCAATCTATCGCACCCAATTTTCTCCCTCCTCCCTCTCCACCATCTCATATGCTCACATCTAATTCTTCCTCTTCTCTCTTTCCATTTCTTCATTCATTCTATTACCTTTGATGGGTAGGTAAACCATTCACAATTGTTTTTAGTTAGTGAGTCTGAAAATGAATATTTATATTATGAAAAATATTGAAATCATTGCTCCTTAAAGAATTATTGCTTTTATAAAATTTTATTTTTGTTTTTGCTTTCTTTTTTAATTTACTTAACTGCCTATAATGAAAATTTAGTTGTGTGAAGATGAAAGAAGGAGTTGGATGGAGTGAGAAAAGGGAGAAAATGCAATCATTGAGAAAAAGAAGAGGGAGACACCCGAGCAAGATGGAGGGAGGTTTGAGATGGAAGATTAATTTAAAATATTAAGTATAAGCTATTAGAATGATCATTTTCAATTATTTAAAAAACATATAAATTGAATTGATTTTTTTTGAAAAATTAAAGACTAAATTGAATAAAATAAATAAATGATCATTTGTATAATTTTAAAATTATATATATATATATATATATATATATATATATATATATATATATATATATTTGTTTTACAATATCTTTTATTAGATATGTGAAGACCTAATTTAAGGGAGTTAAAAGTATAAGTGGTTTAGTGAGAAGTAAAGTTTGATGTTGTACTAGTTAAGTTAAAAAGAGTTATAAATAGAAAATTTTAACAATTCAAATTTCATTCTCAAAAAACTACCATCTCTTTACAACTCTCTTTCTCTGTCTTCTCTATAAAGTTTTTGCTCTCTCATCTTTTTCTAGATCTAAACACGCCTTAGTGCTCTTGGAGTAGAGAAGATATATTTTACACGATAGAAATTTCAAATAGAGTAAGTTTTTCTTTGTTCATTTTAAAACATTTACACGTAGATTTGCAAAGCTTGCATATGGAGCCCAAGGTACATGCATGTGACTTTTGTCAGACAAAGATGAATCTTGACTTAAGAATATTATAATATTCTTGATTAGTTTATTAGAGTTTTCTATGAGCAGAATCAGACATCCTATGAGATTGAGTGTTTTTGAAATGGAAGGTTGAAAAATTGAGGTAAGGATAACTAGTAGTAAATTTCTTAGCATCCTAGGATAGATGGTTTGGACTGTGATGAGACTTAGTCACATTGTCTGATTTGGAGGGAGTTGATAGTTAATTGATAATATTGGTATTTATATCTGATTGAATGAGTTAAATTATATTTATTATGTGGGAAATATGTGCATGGGATGTTAGGATAGAATAACAATATTTGGACTAAGTATAACATGTTCTATAAGTAAATGATGTAATATAGTCTTAAAGGATAGTGGTTAATGCCTAAAAACTAGTTTAAGGTTTATTTTTCACAATATGTTGTCTACATAATTCACTCGGGCGACAACTTCTCGATCAAGCAAAATATGTAGCAGAGTTAAAGGCTCTTATTAGGTGTATTTTTGCTTAAGCGAAAATATCTCCCTCAAGCAAAAATCACGCAATGAAATAAGGCTGGTCTCATGTGCATTTTAGCTCAAGTGAAAGAATTTTCGCACAAGTGAAATTTCTAGAAGCTTTTTTTTTTTTCTAAACTTTTAAAAATCATAAAAGATAGCTATAAACTCCAAATTTAATGTTCTATATATCCAAATTGAAGCCTTGGAAATGAGGAATTTAATAAAATAAGAACTAATAAAAAAAGGATATTTGTAGAAAAAGTTATAATCAAAATAATAAGTAGATGTCAAATTAGAAAAATGCATTTTGTTTGTAAGTGTGATAAATGGTATGCATATAACTTAGAATGTTAGAACATATGTTATGAGCATGAAATGAGGAGTGTTGAGTACTATTATATGCATATAAAAATATTTTGTTATAATGTAAGAACTACCATAAGATATCCATATATGTACATTGTATTTGTGATGAATTATAAGATGATGTGGTGATATTTTTGTGTGTGTTCTTAATACTAAGATATATCTATTGAGGCTTAGTTGAGCCAGCAGTGTGACTCATAATAAACTAAGATATATCTATGTATATGAGACTAAGTCAATCACATCCCATAATCGACTAAAATGTATGTGGTTGTGGGTACTTGGGAAAGTACTATATGGTGAAGTGGGGATATTGAATTGGGATTTTGAAGGAGATTACCTTGACTCTACTGATCATTGGAATCACATCGATGAAGAGATTAGGTGGTGAGAGTTGAAGGAGCTCTATATGTTAGTGTGAAAAAGAACTGTATTTAGCAAGTCATAGGGATTTCTCTTGTCACATGAGGAAATGTGTTTCAATTATATACCTATCTTGGAGATATCCATTTAGGAAAGGTAGTGTGACAAGTATAAAATCTATGAGTCTAATTCAATGTCCAGTATTCTAGAAGTCGTCTAGAGTCTATGTGACATAAATTGATATGATATGATAAATTTGAAATGGATTTGTGTAGTGAGAAATATATGTAGAAATGCATGAAATTATAGTTTTATAACAAATTTAAATTTAACATGTTTATTTCAAAATACTAGCTTACCCTGTGTATTTTGTATATTTTTTCCTTTAAATGTGGTGATCGTATTTTTACATGGGAATAGATGATGCAGGTGTTAAACCATAACAGGGGTAGGAAAGGAGATCATAGGATATTAGATGTTTTTCATTAATTTTACATTTTATAGAGTTCAAATGGATGTAAAAGAAAAAATTTCAATGAGGAAGTAGTCTATATTTTGAAAACACCTCACTCATGTAAATTACATAAATATCTATGATATGTGTTTTGGGAATGTTACATTTGTGGTATCAGAGCAGATCGTGTCCTAGGTTGACTTGAGGGGAGTTGGTTGACTATGTTTTAGCCGTGTAATTAACCTTGTGTTTTGTATTTTTTAGTTTTGTTTCGATGATTTTAAGAATCTAAGTTGGATTGTTTCTAAATTTATTTAATGACATGTGTTCTTATGTTGATGACCTTAGATACTTTATCTTTTGTTCAGATAAATGTCCCTGACCTTTTTGGCTAAGTTATTTCTTTTTCATCTTGGTATTGACTAAGATGAACACTTTAAAGAATAAATAAATCTTGATAGAGTTATGTTGGTGCACACATAGGACTTGGTCAAAGATTCATCTTTCCCTTAAAGTGTCGAATCCCGTAGTTTGATGCAAGGTTTATGTTGAATTATTGGCAAGCGTATCAAATTTATCAATCGCAGTATAGTATTTCGATTAAATAAAAGTTGATCCCACGAGGAACTGTTTCAATGGAAATTCCCAATTATGCTTACTAAGTGGATTAAACAGATTGGTTTTTGCATAAAGAGTTGAATTTAATTTAAATGACAAAGAACTGTAAATTGTTGAGAAAATATCAATTAAAGATACTTATGATTGGTTTCCTTCCTTATCCCTATTTTGTAATGACTATGTCAATTAAGAATGTCAATTAACCTAACAATGTTGATGCCACCTACTCAAATCATCCATGTTGATTCCTCACACATGAAAATCATAAGAAAACCTAATAAATGTTGATTCCTCACACAATTAAAAGATTTTCCAACATTAGCTTTAGGGTCTTAAGCAATTGATACATTCATTCAATTCCTGGCAATTAACATAACAATTATTCTTACCGTGATCTAGGGTTCAAGATATATTTTCCAATCATACCTCAAACATCAAGAATAAATCATTCCAAAGCACAAATGATAAGAATAACAACATCAAAACATAGATTAATATCTCAAAATATCACCATGATACAAAAGAGTTCAAAGGAAGTTAACCAAATCCTAAGAGAATGGAGTTAGCCACTCATGTTGGCCATTACAATGCTCCAAATGTGGAAGAAGTGAAGAATTGATGAGATTGGACGAAACCTTAGCAGTAGTCGTGCCTCTTCTCCCCCAAAAACTGCTTTGTTTTTTTTTTTCAAAATACATCTTCTCTTTTTGTAGGAAAAATTTGAGCTTTTGGGCTTCGTGTCTTTCGCTCAAACGAGAACTTTCGCTCAAGCGGAAGTAGTCTATTTTCGTTCAAGCGACAAAACGCTCGCTTGAGCGAGTGAACTCCAGAGAAGAATAACTAACATTCGCTCAAGCAAATTTTCATGCGCTTGAGCGACTGACTTCTAGAGAAGAATAACTGATATTCGTTCAAGCGAATCTTGTCTTGCTTGAGCGAGTGAACTCTAGGGAAGAATAATTAACATTCGCTCAAGCGAGAATCCATCCCGCTCGAGCGACTTCCATGCTGAAAATCTTCTTCCTTCTTCCAGTTTTACTCTAATTCTGCTAACAATTATGCTCCTTACTCTTGTATCAAGATATTCTCGAATTTATCCTATATTGGGAGAAAAATAGATTAGAATTAGCATCAGTTAAGTGGTTTCATAACAAATCAAGGTATAATTATATCAACTTTTTACCACTTAACAACTCCCCCCAACCTAGAATCTTGCTTGTCCCAAGCAAAATAATTTTTCCAAAATAAAACCAT